GAGGATGACGAAAATAAAAAAAATGAATGATAATAATGGAAATGAAGTGAAAATGAGGATGACGACGAAAATAAAGAAAATGATAAATGGAAATGAAAGTGAAAATGAGGATGACGACGAAAATAAAAGAAAATGATGATGATAATGGATAGGAGGATAGTGATGATCGTGATGAAGACGACAACGAGGTGGTAATGCTGATAACTGCGGAATCATCAGTCCTTCCTGCAAATTCCCTGCAAATCTAAATTGGACAGGATTTTTTTTTTTTTTTTTTTTTTTTTTTTTTTTTTGCGACGCTTGGGAAGAAAAATATTTTTGGACAAATTTGCAGACGTTTTTGGGGAAGAATGTTTGTTCAAGATTAATCTCTTGGGCGCAAACAGGCAGCAGGCAGTTATCGTGGCTCTTCGCTCTTTATTTCCTCATCATTAAAACCAACACTAATGATAATGAGGATAATATCAATGTCGATGATGATGAGGGAAATAATGATCAACAATAATGGTTAATAACGATGATGAAATAGCAATGACAATGAGAAAATAACGATGAACACAATAACATAGTGTATAATATAGGCAATGACGATGAACGTGAGAAAATAACTATCGTAATAATGCAAAGAGGATTGCAATGAAGACAACAGCAGCCAAGTTATCACCATTGTCATTATCATTATTATCAGGACAGTAATGGCCCCTCATCATCATCATCATTACCGGCGTCACATTATTCATCCTGCTATTTGGTACTTTGTCGCAATAATATTGAATTCATAATCAGTATCATTGGTATCAGCATTGCTTTGATTATCAGTGTTAATTTTAGGATCATGATGATAAGGGTGATGGTGAGCATCAGCATTTTCCTCATCAGTATTAGTAATCATAGCAATGTCATTAGGATTTATGTCAGCATAAAAATCAAAAATCATTTTACTGAAACGAAGGACTGCATGGGAAATGTAGGAACACCAAATATTAGTTTATTATTTATCTTAGTTCAGGCGCGGTGGTGTTGTGAAGGTGCTTGAGTTGCCAAGCGTCATTTCAAGACACATGGGAGCGAAATATACCACCTTATCCTCTTTCTCTATCTCCTCCTCCTCGTTCTTCTTCCCCTCCTGCTCTGCTCCACTCCCCCCTCTTCTTCCTCTTCCTCCTCTTCCTTTTCCTTTTCCTCTTCCTCCTCTTTTTCTCTTTTCCATTTCCTCCTCCTCTTCCTCCTCCTCCCCATCTTCTTCCTCTTCTCCTACTTCTTGCTCCTCCTCTTCTTCATTTCTTCCTCTTCTTCTTTTTTCCCTTTTTCTTCTTAATCCTCCTCCTCCTCCTCCTCTCCTACTCCTTTTCCATCTCTTCCTCCTTCTCCCTCTCCTCGTTCCCTTTCTCCTCCTTTCCTTCTTCCGCCTCTCCATCTCCCCCCATCCTCCTTTGCTTCTTCTTCCCTCTCTTTCATTTCCTCCTTTGCTCCTCCTCCTCTCCTACTCCTCCTCATCTCCTCCTCCTCCTTCCTCCTCCTCTCCTCCTCCTCCTCCTCCTCCTCCTCCTCCTCCTCCTCCTCCTCCTCCTCTTCCTCCTCTTCCTCCTCCTCCTCCTACTCCTCCTCATCATCTACTCCTACTCCTCCTCCTCCTCCTCCCTCCTCCTCCTTCTCCTCCTCCTTCTCCTCCCTCCTACTCTCCTCCTCCTACTCCTCCTCCTCCTCTACTCTACTCCTACTCCTCCTCCTCCTCCTACTCCTTCTTCCTCCTCTCTCTCCTACTCCTCCTCCTCCTCCTCCTCCTCCTCCTCCTCCTCCTCCTCCTCCTCCTCCTTCCTACTCCTCCTCCTCCTCCTCCTCTCCTCCTCTACCTCCTCCTCCTCTCCTCTTCCTCCTCCTCCTCCTCCCTCCTCCTACTCTCCTCCTCTCCTCCTCCTCCTCCTCCTCCTACTCCTCCTCCTCCTCCTCTCCTACCTCCTCCTACTCCTACTCCTCCTCCTCCTACTCCTCCTCCTCCTCCTCCTCCTCCTCCTCCTCCTCCTCCTCCTCCTCCTCCTCCTCCTCCTCCTAAGCTAGTCCAGGCATTTTATAATTAGTCCCACAAGTCCCATAACACAAGGATCAATGTTTACTATCGACACCAGGGCGGGGGAGGAGGGGGGGAGGGGAGCGAGAGGGATAAGAATCGTAGGTGAAAGGAGGGAGGTTAAAGGCGGGAGAGGAGTGGAGTCGATGATCACGAGAAGAAGGCGGAAAGAGAAACACAAGGTATAAAAAGTATAAACGGAATTTGAGGTTCCTTACTGTCTGATACTTTCATGCTGTAATAGTTACTGTGTGTGTATATGTGTATATGCATATATATGTGCACACACACACACATAGACACAACATACACACACACACACACACTACACACACACATACACACACACACACACACACACACCACACACACACACCACACACACACACACACACCACACACACACACACACACACACACACACACATACAC